TCTAATTTCATATATGTAAGACATTCGGATGTTGTCCATATGTCCCTGAGGCTCTGTTCATGTTTTTGTTTCCTGAACTATTTTTTTCTCTGTTCTTCATATTGGGTATTTCTATTGTTTTATCTAAACTTCACTGAAACTTTTCCTTTTCCATTTCCATTCTGCTGTTTAGCCAATCTAGTGTTTTTAAAAATTTTTCAGCTATTTTCCAATTCTGGAGTTTTTTTTTCAATTCTGGAATTTTTATTTGGTTCTTTTTTTTTTAACAGTTTGTGGTTCTCTGATGTGATTTTCTATCTTTTCATTTATTGTGAGTATAACAATAAATGTGTTATACTCTCTTACTCCTTTAAGCATAGTTATAGTAATTGCTTTAAATTTCTTGTCTGCTAATTCCAACATCTGGGTCATCTCAGATAGTCTCTGTTAATATATTTTAGCTCTTGCAAATGGATCACAATTTCCTAAATCTTCATAAGCTGAATAATTTTGGGTTGTATCCTAGATATTTTTAATGTAATTTTGTGGAGACTCTGGATTCCGTTGTACTCCTCTGAAAAATACTAATTTTATTGTTTTGGTAGATTGTTAATGTAATGAGATTCAAACTCTAAACTGTGTCCCTTGAGTGGTAGTTGAAATCTTAATTCAGAACTTTGATTTTATCTGAAGTCTGTCCCCTATATGTGTGGTTCAGGAGTCACTTGAGATTGGAATAGAGTCTGTGGACCAAATTGGGTTTCCTCTGGTTCCCTCCTTTCCAGGATTCCACACCCCGTTTACTTTCTAATGGCTGTGCTTTTCCCAAGTTCTGTCCTATACTTCTTCATTCCAGAAAGACTGTGAGTTTACTATTGGTGTCTTACTCTTGATGTCTTAGCCACTTGTCAGCTTTAGTTTGTCTCTCAGCCTAAAAGCTGTAAAACTGAGTAACTCACCTTGTGCCAACTCCTCTTCAGAATATGCCTGTTTCTGTTTGTTTTCTAGTTTCTTTAATTGTTGTTTCTTCATTTTTTTTTCAGTTTATAGTTGCTGTCTACAGGAGGATCAGGATCAATAGTTTACTCAGCCATATCAGAAGCAAAAGAAACTATCTTGCTCAATTTTGATTTAACTCTCACCAAATTGTCCTTAATATAGGATTCTGTCCCAGAGGGGAGACTTGGCAGGTCAGCTCTAAGAGTCCGGAGGGGCTAGATTTCTCCAGCCCCTTCAGTCCTTGCCGCAGGCCCCTTGTGCTCACTTGGTATTGGAGGGAGTACAACCCCTCCCACTTTCAGCTGCTATTCTCAGTTGTCTCACCATGCTTCCAGTGAATATTCCTTGAGAGTTCCTCTTTCACCACAGTTATTGGCTACCTTGGATTATAATGAATAGCTATGGTGAGAAACTAAAGCTTCAGCCTTGGCTGGTGCTCCCCAATGAGTTTGATGGAGAAGATGTGACTCCAGGAGAAAACTTCTAGTGTTACAAATGGTAACTCAGCCTTGGCATTCCTTTCTTTCAAGAGAAGCTTCTCCCAATTGCAGTCTTCTAGCTTTCTGGGCACTGGTGTGTGGATGCAGGTAGGGAAAATCTCTTAAAGGCCAGCCAATCCACATGCATCTGTTGCCTAGCACCCATCATCCCAGCCAGCCCTGAGTTGTACCCCGAAGTTACCAAGCCACCCCTGGTGGGCATTGGTATACAATTTATATGCCTCCCAGTGGTGAAGGGGCAGAAAATGGTCTTCTCAGGGCAATGATAAAGAGAGAAAAAGGATCATATTTTTAAAAAATTTCCCTTTAACCCCTTTCCATTGTTTGTGTCCTTATTTTGGGGGCTGTTTTCCCCTAAAGTCCTACCCTACTCAGCTGTCTAACCCATTTGCCTTTCATTTTCCTGGAGATTTTCTTACTACGTTTATGCTATTTTGTTAGAACCATGTATCTCTGGATTCTGAGATATGCCCAAGGTCGGGTTCTGGAGAGAGGTCCAATTTGTAATTTTGCAACTTAATAAGAACTGGGAGAAGTACCTCTCTGTATGAAAAAATGAAAATAACAAATTCTTTACGTACATATTTCAGGACATTGGAACTTAACAACAGGAGATTCCTTCTGAATTCTAGAAGATACTTGAGAATTTCAATCAATGAAGAATAATTGATCATCAGCTTTGGGTGCTTCTCCAGTTAATGAGATAGATATAATATTACCATCTTGGGTATAGATATAAAATTAACCTGTATAGATATATGTCCTAACAATACAGGAGACTTTTTATTTTTATAAAATGTCTCATCGATAAATAGTCTGGAAACCAATGAATGACTTTTCCTGTGACACTATTCACTAGACATAGGGCTGTGGTTAAATATTTGTTATGTAATAAAACTAACAAAATCTGATTTTTTTTTTTTTACTTTATAGGCTTATTGTCTTATGAGGATAAGTTATAATTTATAGCTTATAAGGAGATTAAGATGATAGAAAATTTGAATGAAAAAAAAGCCATATCAAATTCCTCTAGTTCTTAATTTTGTCTTAGCTATTGAAACCCAATTAGACACAGACCAAATTCCTGTTTATTGGAAGCTTTAGAAGTCTTATAAATGAGTGCTCACATAGTTATAGGAGACCATTGCTTTCTACTCTGTGCAGTCTTTCGCAAAAAGGCATTGAGTCATTTTAATAACAAGTGTGCATTCCATAATATACTCATTCACATTACGAAAACAGCCCCAACCATTTACAATCCAGTAATTCCAACTGTTTAAGTAAAGAGTGCATGAGCCATTAACCAGCTTCTTTCCTTCTTACATCTTCTCTCTCATTAGTACTCCATCCCTACCCCCATGCCTGTAGAAGCATTATTCATGTCCTCCAGGACCAGTTCAAATAGTATCGAGCCCATACCTCCTGCATAACACAGAATTGATTGCTTCCTCCTTTATTCTTCTCTTTCTTTAACACCGAGCCTAGAATCTGGCCTGTAGTAAATGTTAGGTGGATGCAATAAGAGTAAAACCAACTGTGAAATGTTATCGTTTTTGGAGATTGGCCACAAAGATGGTGCTTTCAAAAAGGCCTTTCTTCTTTACTGCCAAGACCCAAGCAAGCATGCTAAGTAAGATAGACTGCTTGTCTGAGACTCACTGTGTCTATTTATATCGGGAACAGAGGGAACCAAGAAGCATGACATTTACTGAGCCTGTGGATGCCGGCATTAGCTTGCTCAGGCTTAGGGGAGTAAGGCAAGGTACTCTTGATTTGTGTGCTTGGTCAGGTCATGCCATAGGCATGGAGACAGGTCTCTTCCATTTGTCACATGCTTCTGTAGCCACCGTTGCTCAACAGCACGGGTGGGTAACAAATGTGTTTTGGTGATATTTTCAGGGAGGGGGGAGAGTGTTATTAGAATCCAAGGTGTTGTTTTTCCTTCCTGTTTCATCAGAAACCCTTCAAATTTCGAGCTCTTTTAAATTAGAAGTATCAGAGACGCCTTTTTAGTTACACTGACGAATGAGTTATTCACCTCTGTCCCCTCCCCATTATGTTCTTCATCTGAGGCAAACGACGATGCTCATTTAACTTTTGCATCCTCAGATTAACTGCAAGTGGAACAACCTAATATATCTCCCAGCGTTGGAGCTTAAATTCTGAGGACATCATTTTTCATTTTCGAATGACACTTGACTTCAAGAAAGAACAGCAGACAGACCAAGCAGCAATGCTGGCCTTATCTGTTTTGCGAAGCGTCTCTTGCAAAAAAAAAGAGCTTATGGAATTTGGCTCTATTTTCCACAGCCATGGGATAAGGGTCGCGTGTAAATAATAATATCCTGTGCTACTTAGGCCTCATTTAACTGTATTTGTTGCTTTAGAAGGAACTGCCAAGTGGGGTGTTTCTCAGAGCTCATGCTTGACATTCCAGAAATACTGTAGGGTCCACTTCAAAGATGGCACTCCACACCACCAAGCTTGTGATTGTTGGCACGCTCCTGATCATCACCCGGCTTCACGTTGACACATTCTTTCAAATCACATGGGAAGTGCACCCTCTGGGAAGAATGAATCTGGTACCCTGAGGGCGGGCCTGTCCTTATGAGAGGCCTTTGCACTTACCACATGGGTGTTTTCCTGGAAAGCTGTGGTAGCTTCGAGCCTAGGATGACTACATTTGCCAAACTAGGAACAGTGAGGTGATTTTTGCAAAGTTAGCTGTTGTGTTGTTGACAGAACACTAAGCTGGGCTGTACTCTCCAACTGACTAGCTCTTGGGCCTTGTGAAACGTTCTTGGTCTTTCTGGCCTCGGTTTTCAAATATTGAAATGGTGAGATTACACTAGATAATCTAAGTTCTTTCCCAGCCGTGAATTTGCTCAGGTGACATGAAACAGTAAAAACCAAACGGGGATTCAGTAAATGGAAGTTTCCAGTCCAGGCTCTGCAGCTCATTAACTGTGACTTGGAACAAGTCACTTAGCCACCTAGCCTCAGGTCTCCATCTCTGGGGAGACCAGTGTCTTTACCTGTCTCACCTGGTAGTTGTGCTGATCAGGTAAGGAAACACTTTTTCTCTCTCAACACTTACTGAGCAACTGCTCTGGGGCACCAGTCTGATAGATGGCAAAGATGTAGAGGTTATTAGATTACCTGTTACTACTATTAATTTAGCTGCAATTTAGTGAGTTCTTCCTGTCAGCAGGCACTTAGGTGCAGTATCCCATTTAGTCTCTATTTTCTGGATGAGGAAACTAAAGTCCAAGGTGGTTGGGTAACTTGCTCAGGAAATGTAGCTAGGCAGAGCTGACACTGAGATTTGTACCAGGGTTTCATTTTATATTTTAAAAGTTAGAAACATCTCACCTCTGCCAAAGAGCTCATGTTACTATTATTATTCCTTTGCTGGGTCACAACACCCAAATTATATGACCTGGAAGCTGTGGCGGGGGTGGGGCAGGGAGGCTGGGGAGGAGACCGGCCTGGCTCGGGCTAAAGGAAAGGTTCTCTTTGCAGACACTGCCTGAGACAGCACAGTTGGTGGAAAGACCTGAGGGGCAACCCAAGTCCTCAAGCCAGAGGAAGTCCAAGCGCTCAGCCCAGACTGAGGGACCAAATGCAGCAGGCGTTACGGTGATGGCAGTGGAGGAGGAGTTTGTAGAACAGAGCGACAAGATGAGAGCAAGCCCTGTGGGTCCTAGGCCTGGAAGGGAGTGCTTCGGGGCAGTTGCCAAGACTAGGTATCCTTTGAGGGTAGTTTGGAAGTGCTGCTCATGGCCCGCCATGTGACTAGGCCAATCCTACATAAAGAGCCAGGCAGAGGGCAAAACAAGCCCTCTGTTTGCTTACCTGTAGAAGAAAGGCAGTGGGCAAAATGAGCTCTTAGGGCACCATGTGTCAGACATTCCCCGAGTCAGCAGGTCTGCAGAGGGGGCTCCTCCGGGGCTCAGAGCAGCAAACAAGTGCTCTTGCTAGGCCATTGTTCTCCTTAAGAATGTGACCCCAGTCTCTAAGATGCTAGGATTCTGTTCTTATTATGTCAGGAGCTGCTTTAGCAGGACCCCTGCCGCCCACGAAGTAAATAGCCCAGTTGTCTTCCTGCTCTCTTTGCAAACTCTTTGCAGGGTGGCTCTGCCATCAGGGGAAGTGGTCTTTCCGGCCTTTGGAAGATTGTCCAACCACGCCTAATTCCCAGGGATGTGGCCCAGCTTTTTGTGCCTCTGCTTTACTCCTCTAAGCCTGCTGCTTTTCTGAACTATCCTGGTGCTTTTTCCTACCTCCAGTCCCTGTAGGAAATGCCTGGCCCAAGAGAACAGTCTGCTCACTCAAACTCCGGTTGTTAGAAGTGGGTGGTCACCCTAACATGGGACTTGTGCACCTGGAATGATGGGCTCAATGGCAGAAACAAGGTAGGCAGCAGGGGGAGGGAACTGAGCCCTAGTACTAGATATGGCCACTGGGCCAGGACACGTGCTTGGGGACGTGGCCTTGTTATAGGTAGACGCAGGCCAGTGGGTGAGGTGAGTGGTCTGCAAGCAGGCCCAGGTGCCATACAACATTCTGAGAAATGGTCAACACTAAGGAGTCCAAGATAAGAAACTCAACAGTAGCAATATCAGACACTTAATATGGGCGCTGTGCTAAGCACTTAACATAGATTCACTCTTTTGATCTTCAATGCTATTTCCCCATTTTATATATCAGGCAACCGAGATGCAGAGAGGTTGAGTAACCTGCTCAAGATCACACAACTAAGGGATGGGTATGTAAGAATTGTGTGGATCTTCAGCCAGTTTGGGAAATCATCATCAAGAATACCCCTCTCTAGTGGCCAAACCCATCACTGGGACAAGGTGCCAATTCCAGAGGGAAGAGTTGACAAGAACAAGGCAAGGCAGAGGAGCTCATCCACCCAGCAGGCATGCATCGGGGACCATCCTGTGTGCCAGCTGTTGGGGGAACAGACAAGTAAGATAATGTCTCATTCAGGCCAGGGCCCCAGTTCTGAAAGAGGCTGAGAGAGTAGGCAGGACGACGTGCAGGACTTAGAGGTAGGAATCAAGGCAGAAGGCCAGCTCCTAAGACTGGGTGAGTGTAAGAGGCTTGGGAAGAGTTTGGGTCTGGGAGCATCACGGCCTCTCCGGTGGCCCTTCTGGGGTTACCAGATCTGAGAGGCAACCTATGCCTTATTCCCCAAGGCACAGGGCTGAGGGCTGGCATTGACCCTGGGCCTGTGTATGGGTTGCTCTGAGAACCAAATTGGGCCAGAGCCTCTAAGTGGAAGGATCAGTGGGTCCAGCTATGGGGATCTGAGTAGAGTGGGAGTGGGGGACTTGAATTGGGGGCTAATGGACTAGAATCCAGCAACGATATCCCAGTTCCTGTGGAGCCTGTTTTCCTTCTACTCCTGCTGTGGAAGCACCGGCCTCCGCTGTGGCAGAAAGGGAAGTGAATTTGGAGCCAGGAGATCTGCACTCCATATGTTAGTAGAAACTGTGATGTCTGAACATTCTTGTTGAGAATAGCTGAAATTCTTAATAGGAATTCCAGGAAGACCAGAGGACATCTGAGAGATATATGTGGATTGCAGTAGAGAGAAATACTTAATCTTTAGGGGAAAATCTCCAGAATCAAGAACCAGCTTCCTTTTTTAAATTATTTTCTCCAAACTGACAAGTTAATCAAGTAAGGCGTGTGAAAGGCTTTGTAAACTGTAGGGCTGGCCCCCTGCGCAAGCCTTTGTTAACATCTTCATTGTTAAGATCCGGAGATTAGCAACCTCAGCAGTTCCTGGGGTGGGGGTGGGGGGCTTAAAACGTTGCCTCTCCCCACCCCAGCACCTTCTCTCTGAAACCCAAAAGAATCTTTTGGAGCAGATTCTTAGTTCTCTGCTGGGCTCACTGGTCTCACTGTACAGCCATCAGCCAGGGCCACTGCTACCTGCAGACAGGACTGGAACAGGTACAGGAAGAGGAGGGCAGAGTCTCTTGCCTCTAGCCAGCTTGCTTAGTCCATCTCAGTAAGACCCTGAGACTCAGTATAGTAGATTAGAGCTCTACCAAGTGGGGGTGGGGCGGGGGATGTCGCCTGAATTCAAATCCTGGTTCTGTGACCTCAAGTACAGTAAGTTACTTAACATCTCTGGGGAACATCTATAAAATAGGAAAGTTAATATAGGGTGGTGGTGAGGGTTACCTGACCACCCGTAAAGCACTCAGCACAGCACCTGGTCCACATCAGCATTTGGTAAATGTTGGCTGCCACTATTCTCCCTTTTCCCTCCTCCATCATCTTCCTCCTTTTCCTCCTCCTCCTTCCTGTTTCTCCTTCCTGTTTCTCCTCCCGCTTCAAACTCCCCTTTTCTTTCCTCCTCTTCCATCTTCAGAGGGCTTTCTGGAGCCTCAAGCTAATGGCTTGGCAGATTCAAGACCAGATCGGCCTGGCTGGTTGTCGGTACTTTGACCTGTGGCCCAGTTTGTTTAACTAGATCTGGGTCCCTGAACCGTGCATTCAGAGCATGAGCCCTCTAGGGTTGGGACTTTGCCTGGCCCTTTCCACTTCCCCTCCTAGCCCCTGTGACTCAGGCCCTGCACCCAGCCCTCAGAGCTCCCCAATGACAGTCACTAGCTATCCCAACCTACTTGTTGGCTCTGCCTTCTCTTTTGATACTAGTGGCCCACACAGCACAGGTCCTCACCTGGGTGTGGGTCTTTATGTCTTCACCTGCCACCCTACACAGACACTCTACACAGTGACCCCTAATGAGCCTACTCTCCCTCTCAGTGAACCTTTCCAACAACCCTGTGAGGTCATATAGTTCATTTATTCATTCAGCAAACACTCATTGAGCACTTGCTCTGTGCCCCTGGATATGCGACGAGGGTATTGCAGTGGAAAGAGAATGACGAGTCTTGGAAGAGGCTTTCAGCCTTTATGACAGAGTGGGTAAAACCCGAGCTCCTGACTCTCACAAAGCCAAAATTGAATTCTGGCTCTGCTACTCGGCTGTATGGCCTTGGGCAAGTCACCTCGCCTCCTTGTACCTCGATTTCCTTGTATGTAAAATAGGCACATGAATAGCCCCTATCTTACGGGACTTCCTTACAAGCTTCATTTCCTGCTCTGCACTCCCCTGTTCTTTCTTGTTCTTTCTAGTTCATATCACAATACAAATGTAATTCTGTCCGCCTTCCAAGCTATATTCCGAACTCTGGTGGGCAGTAACCACTTGTTTATGTTTATATCTCTAGTGCTCCCACAGTGCCTGGCCCAAAATATACATGTATATACAAAATATACCAGTGGTTTGTGAAATGTTAACGCTATGTTGTTATTTTTCCAGATCCATCCTCCTCATTAAACTGTGAGGTCCCAGAGGGCAGATATCCTGCCTCAGTATCTGCAGAACGAAGCGGGGGTTTAACTTGGTGCAGGCGCTCAGTGAATGGCGGCTGGACTAGTAGGTGAGTAGTGAAGAAATGAAGGAACAGATGGAGGCCGATGATTAAGGCAGTTTCTTACAGGTTCACTATTATCAGTGAGGCTATCGTTACCTTGAAGTTAATTTGGATATATAGTAGAATTGCGCGGTAACAGGTAGTTCATTTTTCTGCGGACTCATCCTCCTCAGTCTTGTTCTAGGATTTAACACTGTTGACCACCCTTTCCGTGAAATTCTTTCCTTCTCTACCCTCCATGAGAGCAAACTCTTTTGGATTTCCTCATGTTTTTCTCACTCCTTCCTTGTTCCTTCTTTTGTCTTTGTTGTTGATGAGTCTTCTTTTCCCTTTTGCTTTCTCATCGCCCCCTCTTCCACCTCCAACACCACTACCTCACTATGATGTAAAATATTCTCTAGGGTTTGGACCTCACCTGTCTGCCCTCTCCTCTTCCAGTGAAATCGGCCTAATCCCAAGGCTTTACACCCATATCTCCTTCCAGCGCTCACATTTCTTCTAGCCTTCACGTTAGAATCTTCAGGCTCCTGCTACACATCTATACCTCATTTTTTTGGCTGTCTTCCTGAAATTCAAGTCTAAAAATTCTCATCCTTTTCCCCCAGACTGACCTCTTTACTCCATCTTCTCTTTTTTCATTACCATCAGTGCCTTTCGATTTTTTAACTCATAAGGAATACACATACACACATACATATAACATATACATATGTAGCTATATAGGCATAGTAGTTATATTGTCATATATATAATTTTAATATAT